GGTGACGTGGTTTGTTGTGAGCTGAGTTTCGGTCGTTGAATGCAACTGTCGCGTTTGAGGTGTCGGTACAATCAAGGTGGTGATTGCCCAGGTGGTGGGCTTGATATCTTGGCGTTCAAGACCACCGCATCTGCCACAGGCCGCGCTAGCCAACCACTGCTCGCGCCACAACAGGCAGCAGACGTCCCTGTCCACACAATCGACTCGCACCCGTGGCGACCATCTCCTCCTGCCAGTGCCTATTGGGTGCACTACCATGGAGTGTTATGCTCTTCCGTCGACGCGCCTCTCTGCTGAGCGCGTCAGATGCCCCGCGGCGCGTTTGCCATGAGCCGCCTACCCACGCCTTCTTCTCCGTAGAGCGCCATACACAGTATTCTCATATACTCAGAGCGATGCACACTACCCCATTACGCTCGACGCCTACCACCTCACCCTCCTCGACCTGCCGATGGAAGCGGGGACGGCCCGTTCCTCGAAGCGACAACTTTCCTAGACGAATCCACAAGACTCCCGTTCCTGCGCTGCAACCTCCCGCTACCCAGTCTACTTCTATAGACTCAGCCTCCATGCCTCGGGACCATCGCCAAATACGTCCGGCCTCGGCTGCGTTACACGTACGACTGGCCGAGACGGCTCCAATACTGGGCGCTGACCGATTTCAGCGGGTGGGACTATGGAATCCAGCTCACGGACTACGCTTTGCGACAACAGCGACAGCGGAGGCGCCCACGCCGGATATCCCAGAAGCCACAGAGACCGAGTCCTCACCTCAAGACGATGTGGCTGCGGCAGCCCGTACCGATCACCCCTCCCCGCACACCAATAACGAAGCAGGCGATGCTGTCGGACAAGATGGAGAAGCTAGTACGGGACATGTCTCGGAGAATGCAGACTCTAGCGGCCTCTCGTCCGAAGGAGAGTCGGAAGCCAAGGACGACGAAGACGTAGATGAACACGTCTCTCTTACCTATCAGATCCCAGAGGAAAAGCTGCGTGCTGCAATGCTTGCCACTCCCCAAACTCGTGATAGTTATTGGAGCGCGAAGCTATACCAAGGGCCCGACGGCGAAGCGATCTCGACTCATTATTGCAAGTCTTTCGACGTTGCTGAAAGGGTGGCCAAATACTTCTTACAAGAAAAAGTGGTGGGCTTCGACATTGAGTGGAAGCCTCGTGGAAACCCATATTCCATCAAGCAAAATGCGTCGTTGATCCAGCTCGCGTGCGAAGATCGCATCGCACTCTTTCATGTGTCGCTGTTCTCTGGGAAGACAGTCGAGCAGCTGATGCCACCCAGTCTGAGGGCTGTTCTAGAATCACCCAATATATACAAGGTAGGTGTGGCTATCAAAGGAGACTTCAAGCGCCTGGAAAAGTACCTCAACATTCAATCTCAAGGTGTCTTCGAGCTAAGTCGCTTGCACAATCTAGTCGAATGGTACGAGGTGGAGCCTAGCAAAGTATCAAACAGACTTGTAAAACTCGCTTCTCAGGTGCTACAGCACCTCCAACTGCCTTTGTACAAAGGAGAGCGACTAGTCGACGATCCGGATACAACCTCCAGCGTCCGAGAAAGTGACTGGAGTCTGTCCTTAGATTTGCAACAGATACACTACGCGGCTGCCGATGCATATGCTGGCTTTCGTCTTTATCACATGCTTGAATGGAAGAGGACACGGATGAAGCCAGCCCCTCCTCCAGTGGCCCTTTGCGACTTCGACAACAAGCCTACTCCCAGGCCAAAGGTGCCCCGCAAAAGGATAAAGGCAGCTACCAAGTCCGACGATGCAGCGGACGTAGTTGCGAAGCCGTCAATTGACGTGACAGAAGAGCAACAAGAAGATGAGGAAGACGCGGAAGGGTACGAGACCGCGACGGAGGAATTTACCGACAGTCATGAGCTCGAAGACGCACCAAATGAAACAAGAAAAGCTGCGCCAGTGGATGACTCGAACAAGGCCTCTGCGGCTGACGCTGCGGTGAAGCCCGATTTGAACAGTGTTGAAGAAAGTGGAGTTTCTTCACAAAAGCGAATTGGCCGTGTGAGCCTTTCCTGGCTCCAAAACACCGACCCCGGATACCCTGAGCTGCCCAAGACATCGCAGGAAGAGGACGTGGGCCCACAGTCTACCGGATCCTCCAAAGATGAGGTTGCCATGCAGACGGAGAAGCAAGGCCATGGTATTCCAGGCGGGGAGCAGAATGATAGCGATGATGAATACCCAGACCCAGAGCTTGAGGATGCGCTTAGACGCATGTCTTTGGACGAAAGTGGGAAGCTTATCCAAGACGGGAACGACGCAGCATCAGAGCATACTAGGCCAACACCTACCATAAACCAAGACGATCTGGGAACGCAGTCAGTACTTCCTACCCATCTAGCAACCGCTCAAGCTTCTAATACTGCCAAAGTGGGTGAGCCATCAGGTCTCAAGCATGATTCCCTCGATGTTGTCGATTCCGCCGTGCCAACACCAGCTCCGCAATCAAACATCGGCCTACTCAATGAGTCATCACGAACACCTGAGTACAACTTGGCGACGACGTGGGCACAGGAACATCTTCAAGTTACTATTCCATCGCCTACTTCAATAACACCCTCACGTATACGGGCAACTGTGACACACCTTCGCGCATATCATATGTGGCACTACCAGAAGCTCTCAGTCGAGAAAATGGCAGCACTCTTGCGAGATCCGCCGCTCTCGAATAACACGATTGCGAATTATATCTTACAGGCAGTCACACTGGAGAGGCTTGAATACGAGGAAGACTCTCTTCGAAGTGTGTTACTAGCGCTACCTTCAGGGATGCGAAAGGGACGATGGAGGGGGCTGGCCGAGGAAGTTGGCGTGTGACATGAACACATCGACCGTAACCTATTTGACAGAGTATTCTGAAATGAATAAGCTATTCTTAGACATTTTGGCAACGTGGGACGAAGTTGAATACGTGTTTAGAGGATTTGCGGTGTGTTTATGTGTTCTCTTCGTATTCAGACTTGTCAGTTTGCACATGGAAAGCAGGGCGCGGAAGCCATTCCGCTTTTGTCAACCAAGTCGTGGCTCATCTTTACGCGTCTATGCTCAGCTCACGCGTCTATACTCAGTGTTGCGCATCTATGATGTTGCGATACAATGTAACACGCCAATGATGTCCAAGCATATGAACAGTGGACACATGTCACGATGCAGCCATGGCCGTACTCACCAGGTACCATGTGCGGTGCAAACTAAATCAGGGTCCAGGCACGCACTAGGCCAACCCCACGCGTGCCAACCGCGAAACTGCGGTGAGGAGCAGCCATCCCTGCAGGAACCCCTCCGACGTATATACACCTCTGACTATTCTGACGATCTCCCACCATCCCAATTGAGCTTTGTCTGTCCACATACTTGTCAATTCAAGACTCACGAGAAGACTCGCACCATGGCCGCCGCCGCAGCTGTCTATCCCCCGCTCGACCAGCGCCCGGTCAAGAACACGGTCCTCCTGTTCGATGTCGACGACACACTCACAAAACCCCGTCAAGTGTGTACGCTCGATGCATGCTCAGCGATGCTTCTCTAACACCGGTGCAGCTCGTCACTCCACAGATGCTGCAGCTCCTTTCCGAAGTCCGTCACAAATGCGCCATCGGTTTCGTTGGCGGCTCGAACCTCGTCAAACAACAAGAACAGCTCGGCGGCCCTGTAGACGTCACCTCGCTGTTCGACTTCTGCTTCGCCGAGAACGGACTCACTGCCATCCGCATGGGGGAGGTCCTGGCTAGCCAGAGCTTCATCGCGTGGATTGGGGAGGACAAGTACAAGCAGTTAACCAAGTGGTACGTGTATACAGCAGGTTTTGGGGCATCATTAACAACGATTCTAGGATTCTTCACTACATCGCCGATCTCGACATCCCCATCAAGCGCGGTACCTTCATCGAGTTCCGCAACGGCATGATCAACGTCTCCCCCATCGGCCGTAACGCCTCCACCGAAGAGCGAAACGAATACCAAAAGTACGATCTCGAGCACAAGGTCAGGGAAACCATGGTCGCCAAGCTCAAGGAAGCATTCCCCGACTCTGGCCTCACATACTCCATCGGTGGTCAAATCTCGTTCGACGTATTCCCTACTGGCTGGGACAAGACCTACTGCCTGCGACACATTGAGGCGGAGAAGGGCCTGACTGGTGTCGTCTACGACAAGATTCACTTCTTTGGCGACAAGGCTTACGAGGGTGGAAACGACTGGGAAATCTACAGCGACGAGCGGACTATCGGACACAAGGTCAAGAACCCAGATGATACCTATGCGCAACTGTCGGAGTTGTTGAAGAGCTTCCAGTAGTGGGTTTGGACGCGTTAATAACGATTCTGACGAAGCACCCACGGCGGCATCTTTCCGTCTGATATGAGGAAGATAGTACTGGCGATAGAGTACGACATGTAATGTGAACAAGAATCATACGATGCCATTGGTCGAGGGATACGTTCTGGGCCTCGGTTTCCAGCATTCCCTCGCATCGGCATATGCCCAGATTTTGACTTCCGCGCAGTTGCCGCACTCCGTGACTTTAGTGGAGCAGCGTTGATCATTCGATAGTGACTTCCTGTGCACCAAGGCATTTCCCGAAGACCCATACCGGAAACAACAACCCGACTTACTATCAAAACCTTAAATCTGCAGGGCTCAGCAAAGGGTCCAGCAGTGAGAGGCTTATTCATACCGCGCCCTGCTTGGTCACCATCAGCTTCAATGCGGAGATACGTACACTCTTTCTACTATAGGCAGCTCGGAGCTGAGCGTGTACTAATCAACCACGCTGGTCGTCATTGGCTTATTGTGTAACATGGCGTATGCAGGTACTCAATCCGATCATCTCCCCGCACCGGAGTACAGCCGGGGTCATGGCACCGGAAGTTAGACGTAGAGTGCAGATTGTGATTGGGTCCATTCGCACCGATTGATACACAACACCGGTTTCCAAGACGGCTTTTCACAGCATGACATGCCGGTTAAAGATGCAGGGCCACTTTTGCTGATCGAAATGCTAGATCTTGCATCTCAACACCGAAGCAAGGAAGCCAGATCTGACCAGGTAGCTGGGAGTATACAAGTACTGACAAGAATACGGCGACATCCTGGAAACTAACTGCTAACTTCTACACGTATTCCATCATGAGACTACCCACAATTCCGCTCTTCTTACTCCCAGTTCTCGCGTCAGCATCCCCTCTGCACCAGGCTTCTTGCATTCCACTACAGGTTTCCTCCAACACCTCCAACACGTACGACTATATCGTCACCGGTAGCGGTCCAGGAGGCGGTACAATCGCAACAAATCTCGCTCTTGCTGGACACTCCGTTCTGTTGATCGAGGCTGGATCAGACGCTTCGTTTGATATCCGCACCCAAGTGCTCGCTTTGAACGACTTCTCCAACACGAATGTAGCGTGGCATTTCTTTGTCAAGCATAGTGATGACGAGGAGAGATTGAAGAGGTATAACCTGTTGGTCTGGAGGTTGGAGAATGGAGAGTGTAAGTTGAGATGTCGATAGACACTACCTGGGCTTGCCTTGCTAATGTCAGTGATAGATTGGGTTGGGAAAGATCCCAGTGTTGAGGGACATATAGGCGCTGAGAGATTGGGCATTTTCTATCCTAGAGGTGTAAGTGACATCCTCCCCTTATGAACTGCATGTGATAGGTTTACTGATTGTATATCCTGCAACGTAGGCTACTTTGGGCGGGAGTGCGATCATCAACGCGGCTGCGACATTCCTGCCAAGCGACAGCGACTGGGACTTCTTTGACAAGGGCGTTGAAGATGGCATCTGGAGGTAAGCCGCCAACGTATTTCGTCTCTCAAGATAGTACCAACATTCATGCAGTAGCGAATTGATGCGGAAGTACTTTGAGAAAATCGAGCATAACAACTATCTCGAATCCGGTACTCCTGGTCACGGCTTTACAGGCTGGCTACAGACGAACATCGCTGATCGAGCTACCCATGCGGCTGAAGCACTCCGCTTCAAGGTCTTCCAAGCTGGATTGAAATTGGTTGGGAAAGACCCAGAAAAGGTACTGGACTACCTTACTAGTGATGCAAACTATTTCGACCTAATGCGTAACTAGACAGAGTGTAAGGTATGAATAGATGTAAATTGTATATAAGGTCTACCTAACTAATCTAGAAGAAGGTAAGAGCTATATATAACCTAGCATAGACTATCTATAGTTATATAATAGTCTACACTATTGCTAACGTAGGCTAAAAAGAGTTAACTACCTAAACCTAATTCTCTCTAGTCTTTTACTATTACTTCTTACTTTTCTAGTAGACTCTAGTAAATAACATAGCCTATAGCAGAGGAGTCTTTATAAAAATAGTAAGAAAAAGAAGATAAAGCTTAGTTAGATAAGTTTAAAGAAGGTTATTATAGAAAAAAGAGTAATAAGCTATAGTACTACTTACTAAAAGAAAAAAAACATCTATAGTCTCTTACTATACTTATATAAATATATAAAAGAAAAAATATTATATATAAGATTATACTATTAAAGAAGTAAGCCTAGTAGTAGTAACGCTAGCGTTTATATTATACGTAAACTATAATAAGAAACTACTATAAAGAGAGAGTAGATACTAGAGTATATATTTAGGCGAAAAGTAAAAAGAATATTACTTTTATTCTAGATAAGAGTATTATAAAGAGTTTTGTAGAGAAGTATAAAATACTTTAAAAGAATAGTGTTACTATAAAAGACTATATTAAGAAAAGGCTAAGAAGTAACTTAACGCGTACTAAAGACAGCGTTATACTAGAGTAGAGTAGTAGAAAGAAAAACTTTTTATAAATATTAAAGATAAGTAATATAAGTAATAAGAAAGTTATAAAGTATAATAATAGAGTTAAGGTAGGTAGAGTAACTCTTAGTTAAGTGCCTATAATAAAAGAGTAATATTACTAAGCCTAAGCAGTAGAAGTATCTATCTAGTTAATATAGTTAACTTAGTTAGTTACTACGCTAGAGCCTTCGCTAGTCTTATTATTAATAGTATTATTAAAACTAGATATAAATAGAGCTTATCTAGTAGAAATACTATTAAGAGTCTAAAGACCCTCTACTACTATATTAATCTAGTTCTTAGTTATGCTATTAGTTCTATATAGAAGTATATAGATAAACTTATTATTCTTTTTCTTATTCTTAATAGTAGGCGTAGAAGCCTATATAGAGTAGAGATCTCTATTATAGATAGCCTTAAGAAGTTCTTAGTTAAGGTAAGAGTTAATATTAAAGCTATTTTATAAAAGCGCTGCTAGGTTTATAGTATTAATAATACTACCTTAGAGCTTAGTAGATATAGTTAGAGTACTACTAGAAGAGATGTAGTTAAGCGTCTTATTCTTTACCTTAGATTAGAAGGTCTTTACTATAGACGTTTTCTTCTTTAGAGCAAGTAAGCTAATATCTTTAGTAGTAGTTTTAGCCTTTTTCTTTTAGCAAGAGGTACCTATTATAGTAGATAGAGGTAGAGTAATTAATAAACCTAAGTAATTGTTAAATAATAGAGTTAGTTAAATACTAGATATATAATATTAGACTATAATTAGGTATATTATTCTAAAAAGACTAGAGACAAATCGCTACTAAGCTATAATAGTAATTCTAAGGTATTTATAGCTAATACTAAGTTAGCCTAGACTTTTTAGAGCTAGAACCTAATATTATTTTCTCTCTTAGAGTAGATTACTCTTAATCTACTTTTAAGGTTATTTAATAGACTAGGTAAAGTAACTATAGCCTATAATAGGCTATTTTAGCCTATAACAGCCTATTCTAAGCTAGCGTAGATATATTATATCTATAGAAAGGTAGAAATCTACTATAAAAAGTAGTAGTTCTAAGAAATTACGCATAAACACACGCGTAAGGCTACTATCTACGCTAGTAGAGCTAGCGTAGGCCTATACACTCTAGGTATTTCTAGCTAGTTAAATTTCTCTTTTCTATTCTCTACTTTCTAATTACTCTATAATAGTAAGTATTAGCTCTTTTTACTTATTATTTCTAGAATTTTAAAAAGGTCTAAAGTAACCTATTATAGCCTATTTTAGAGTATAATAGAGTAGTTTAGTCTAAATTAGAGGTTTCTAGCATAAATTATACTAAATTACTACTAACTAGCCTCTAGTACTCTAACTAAGACTATTAACGCGCACTTTATACTAAATTACTCTCTTTCTACTTATATCTACTTCTTATACTCTATATTACTCTATTCTAAGCTTTAATAGCCTCTTTTACCTTAACTTAACTATAGTTAGTAATAATTAGATTACTATAAGCTACTTCTACGTATCTAGGCTTCTTAAGATTAGTTACGCGCTATATACTAGTTACCTATAGTTATAGAAGCTTAATAAGCCTTATATATTTAACTACTATAGCTATACTTTTCTAGTTCTTAAGACTAAGAAAGAGCGCGCTATCTTTACTAGTATAATTAAAAAGATTACTAGTATACTATCTAGAGATACTATTACCTAAACTATTCTATGTAGCTAGTATTAGGCTATAAATAAGTAGTGCTTTACTATAAGTACCTATTTTACTCTCTTTTAGCTACTATTACCCTCTATTAGCTTCTATAAAGCTAATATATAGTAAATAGCTCTAGAATAGGTAGTTTTAGTTTATTTTAGCCTATTTTAGGCTCTTTTACACTAATACTAACTAATATAGTCTCTAGAGAATTTTATTAACTTAGAAGCTATATTTAAGATTATCTACTAATTAATAGCTAACTAGAAGCTTATTAGTAAAAAGCTTATTATTCTGCGTTCTTAAGCCTCTAATAATACCTTAACGCCTACTCTACTAGCTATAAAAGACTTTAAGCGCAGTAACTTACGCTACTTAAAGATAGACTTAGTAGAAGAGTATAAGAGCATCTATAATAATATTATTAAGTAAGTTTTAATCTATATTAGCTTATTTTAGCCTAATTTAGCGTCTTATAAGCCTTTCTATCCCCTCTAGAGTTAGTAAGGCCTTTATAAAACTTAAAAGAGCTAAGTTAGCCTATAATAGTCTATTCTAGACTATTTTAACTAACTTTAGTAGTAACTACTTCTCTAATTAGAAGCACTTACAATTTTATTCTAGCGCACTCTATAGCTATACTACTACTAAGTCTAGCGTACGCTCTAATAATAAGACTAAGACTAAAGCTATAGTTACTAGCTTTACTAATAGTACTCTCTACGCATCTAAGAAGAAAGCTAATAAAGTTACTAGTACGCTTAACGCTAGATTACTATTTAAGTAATTAGTAAGTTCTAAAATACTCTCTTTTAGGCTCTTACAGCTCTAATTAGCTCTTTATAGGTTACTAGTAGCTACTTTACCTCTATTTACCCTTTTTTTACCTTTTATAGCCTATTTTAGCTTATACTAACTCTTTTTATAGTATTCTACCTTAAAGTCTACTAAGTAGACTATTATTCTTATAGTCTAAGATCTATAGAACGCTATTTAAAAACTTTAGATAGAGCTTACTTTCTAGCTAAAGAGTAATAAGGCTACTACTAAGAAGAGCTAGCTTAAGAAGAAAATCTAAGCTAAGAAAGATAAGATTAAGCGTCTTAGAGCTAGTATTCTCTAAGTTACTCTTAGATAACCTCTAATAGTCTCTTATAGTCTATTTTAGCCTATTCTAGAGTAATATAAGCTCTTCTAGTATATTTAGGTAGAGTTTAATAGAGTTTACGTAGAATTAACTAGAGTTAAGAGGTATTAACTAAAACTAGCTTCTTTTAGCCTTATATAGGCTATTATAGCTTAGTCTAGTCTAGATTAATACCTATAGGTAGATCTATTCTTATAAATATAAAAAGGTCTATATCTATAATTAAAGTTATTTATCTATATAAATTTACCTAAAGTATAATATTTTATTCTTTAAAACTAATTATAAAGCCTAAAGAACTAATAACTCTACGCTAGAAAGAATTAGAGTAAAATAGCCTATGCTAGACTCTTTTAGACTATTAGAGGCTATTCTAGCCTAAAGTACTATTAAATACTCTAAAAAACTCTATATAGAGAAAAAAGGTAAAGGTATACTCTAGTTTACACTAGAATAGCCTATTATAGCTTAACTTAACTTATTTTCTCTCTTTATAAGACTATCTATAGTATTACTTCTTAGGCTAGGCCTTTAAAGATTTTCTACGCTGTTATATTCTCTTCTTATTCTAGAACTTCTATAGCGTGTTAGCTAAAATATTTAGACCTAGTTTCTATAAGTTTTCTTTCTTTAGATACTTAACCTATTTAATTAGGTACTTCTATTAGTTATTCTTATTACGCTATCTTTTAATAATATATTCTACTTTATATATATTATTACTAAATTCTCTTAAAGTATTCTACTTAGGCGCTTTAGAGTATAGAATAGTGCTTTTTAGGTTAAAAGGCTCTAAAAGTAATATATAGAATACTAGATAGATACTATTAAGTTCTAGAAGGTTAACCTAGAAGGCTAAGAAGCTAATTTAGTCTATAATCTTTTTAGGTCTAAGAAACTTCTAATCTAGCTTTTTCTTTAGGTAAGTACTTCTAATATATTAGTTAGAGACTAGAATTTAGTCTTTTACCTTAAAGAGTATTAGCGCGTAGTACTTATTAGCGTACTCTTTCTAGTAAGTATTTACTACCTTAATCTTTCTATAGTACTTCTACTATAGTTTAATTACTTATTTAGTAAGGCTAGCCTCTATAGAGCTTTCTCTCTTACTAAGAGCTAAATTAAGCTAATCTACTTTATAAGAGTGCCTTCTATAGTAGACCTAGAAGAGAGTAATTCTAGTAGTAGAGTGTATACTATTATTATACGTAAACTCTCTAATAGATATCTAGCGCGCCTAATTATTCTATTCTAAAGAGTAATAGTAGCAAAAGTACTATTCTAAAGTCTAGTTCTACCTTTTAGTCTAGCTATTAGTTTAAGAATAGAAAGTAGAAGTAAGAACTCTTCTAGTATTAAGGTAGTAAAGAAAAGAATTCTAATACTTAGAGTTTATTAAAGAGCCTTAATCTAAGATAATACGCTTTAGTACGTTGTA